GGTTCCCACGGTGCCCGCCCTCGCGCCCGGCGCCTCCCCCCCAGCCTCCTCGCGGCCCAGCCAGCCCAGGCCTCCTCGCGAACATGGCGCTTGTCCCCTGTCAGGTGCTACGGGTGGCGATCCTGCTGTCCTACTGCTCTATCCTGTGCAACTACAAGGCCATCGAAATGCCCTCGCATCAGACCTACGGCGGCAGCTGGAAATTCCTGACATTCATTGATCTGGTAAGGCAGTCCTCTCCCCTCCCCCTGTCAGCCTCGCACCCCGTGCCCTGTGCGTTTGCGGATGAGCTGGCACCTGCGCGCGCGCGCCCCCAACATCCCCACTTGTCTCCTCGCCTCATTCGCAGTGAGTGCGTCGAAAGGCCGGGCTGCCTCTGCTGCAGCACCTTCTGAAACACGCACCTTTACCTGGGAGCTGGGGACGAATGGAGATGGGGTGCTGCCAGGTGGTGGGCGTTGGAGGGGAACACAGACCTACTTCTAGGAGGTTACACGGGAAGATTCTTCGACTAACAAAAGCATCGGATGACCTTGATCATGAGTGGCTTTGGACTTAAAGGTGCTTTTTAGAGCATCCACCGTGGGATAAACTTGAAGCAACTGAAGAAATGATATTGGCTGGTAGATTGGACCCAAGTCCTCCTCATAGGAGAGAGAGAGAGCATTTAATAAAGTTGTCTTCTTGGCATCTGTTTTTTGCCTATCGCCAGTAATTTGCTTTCAACTGTTTCCCCAGAAATGTTAAGGGAGAGAGATTTTCAAGATGCATTTCCAATGTGACCGTACAGTCATGTAAAAACTTTGCAGTAGTTTGCATAAGCAGGTCCTCTATTGGCATACTATGATATAGTCTTGGCAGGTGTTATTATTAGTATTTAAAGCTATCTATATACTCCAGGCATGAAAACACCACTATGGAGAATCAGAACACAGACATAAGGCCCAGTAGTGACAAGGCATGGATTTAGGGATTTCAGGGTGAAGGATGACTAAAATGGGTCACACACACACACACACAAGTATGGGCAAAGGGTTAAAATGGAAGCAATGAAATTCTAAAGACCTCAGCAAACACGTTTGCACCACTTTCCCAGCCCTGGAACTATCTGTCCAAGATAATATACAAGGTGGGCTACACCATTAAGGTTATACACTTGTTGATGAAGAGAACTGGATACCTGTTTTAAGATATTTCCAAAGGTTTCAGATATCTCAAACTAAGGCAGTCAGAAGTTTTTGCTTTAGAAATACTATTATTTGTACTATATTAGGTATTTTCAGAGAAGAATTTCATTTTTTTTTTCTAGCACTCTACAAACTGCACTTACCCTTAGGCCCACAAGACTTTACAGGATATAGTGTTGCAAGGGTTTCAAATTCTCAACTTTCACCTCTTTTCTTGAAACTAATCTGCCTCTGAACACATGTGCTGCCTACAAATCTTGCTTCCTCCCCATTTGGCCCCGTGAAGAGCACATGATCAAGCTCTGTGCTGTGTGTTCTTTCAGCACTGGGAAGACAGATAGCTGTCACCAGGTCTAGCTTCATATTTGATAGAAAAATGAAGCTGGAGTTGTTTTGACAGAAAGTCTTATTGGGCTGATTGGCTTGTCAATGAGGATTGACTTTACCAATTATGTAATATTACGTAGAAGACGTTTTCTATAGATTGAGCTCCCCAGTCTGCAGTCTCGAGGTTCTGCTACAATGTGTGTATAAAACCAGTGTACCAGTCACCCAGGGTCAGAACATGTCCTCCTTTTCAAATATTTTAAATGTATGTTAGAGATGTTTAGATGGGGGACTAGCAGTTGGTGTAATGGCTATGTCACTGGACTCCCATGTAGTCGACCACCGTTCAAGTCCTGGATCCGGTGGCTTAAACTCACGCTGGGTGCATGTGCATGCATGCCCATGATCCTGAGAGGGGAATGGAGGAGAAGGGAGTGCGGTGTGGCCATTGTCCCCGGGGGAGCATTTCTCGCTTTCTGTCTCTTTGTCTCTCTCTGTCTTTTTGGCCGGCGCACGTGCGCTATAGCAAAAACCTCTCCAAAAAAAAAGAAAAAAAAAAAGATGTTTAGATGGTATGTAATATGTGCGTAGGTTTTCAGAATTCTTTTAGGGATTACATGAGCAAAACTCCTTTTGGTTCACTGCCTTATCCCTTCCTAGGTCAGATCTCACTTTGAGCTGGCTCACGTGGATGTGGCCAAGCAGTGCTGAACTAAAGTACTGATGAAGACTGGCAGAGCGATAGGCATATAAACAGCTCTCAGTGGCACCCTTGGACGAGATGCTACTTGGGGGGAGCAGGGGACGGGGTCAACAGGTGAGAAGGATAGAAACTGAGGCGGTTGGTTAACCTGAGATGACTGCTTCTCACATTGGTATTGTTTCCTGGGTGTTCAAAAGTAAGCCTCACAAGAAACAATATACCTCTCATAACCTCTGTGTGACATGAAACTAGTCAAGTCTCAGATGTTGTTCTGCAGTTTACATGTTTGTATTTGATGACTGGATTTGTTTATCCTAAATCATACTAATCACCATAAATATGCATTTTTTTATCCCAGAATTTAGACAATAAATTCAAATTGAAGACTTTTACTTTGTTTTATATTTAGATTCAGTTTGTATAAAACCTTTCATTAGTCATTCCAACTTCTTATTTTTGTGTGGCTTTCTGACCAAAATATAAGAATTATTTATGAGGGACCAGCCTTTGGCGTAATGTCTATGTCACTGGACTCCCACATAGTCAACAGTGGTTCGAGTCTTGGACCCAGTGGTTTAAACTCACGCTAGGCGTGTATGTGTGCGTGCCCAAGATCCCAAGAGGAGAATGGAAGAGAAGGGATTGTGGCGTGGCCATCCCCCCAGGGAGTTATTTCTTGCTTTCTGTCTGTCTCTCTCTATCTCTGGCAAGCACATGTGCCCTATAGCAAAAACCTCCCCCCCCCCCCCAAAAAAAAATAGAATTATCCATGAGACCATAATGGATATGTTGCAGATAGCATAATGGTTATGTTGATGGATGCCCACATAGCTGAACATGATTCAAGTCCCAGACCTCCTAGCTTAAAACTCACTCCAGGTACGTGTGCATGCATCCCAAAAATCTTGAGAAGGGATTGGAGGAGAAGGGACTGTGGTGTGGCAATCACCCCTGGGATTGATTTTTTACTTTCTGTTTCCTGTCTGTCTCTCTGGTAAGCACACATACCTTATGGCAAAAATCTCCCTAAAAAAAAACAAAAACAAACAAACAAATATATATATATGTACCAAAAGAAAGAATTATTAATAATGAAGAATTCCTGTAGAAGCCATGTCCAAAATATATTCATATTAAACACTCAAGCAAAGTATTATTATTTTTATTATTAGAATTTTAGAGCCCTCAGAATTTAAGCACTATACAGCTGTTAAAACAACCAATCTGTCAATTCTCAGTAATGACTTGAAATGATTAGTCTACTATAATTTAGCCATTTATTTTTTACTTTTTTTTTTTCTTAACTTGCTACAGAATATGTGTTCTTGCTGGAGGGGTAGAGAGAAGTGAGAAATCACACCTTCCCCCTTGGGGGGGGATTACCAGCCACAATCCCTTTTCCTACATTTTCTTCTCAGGACTTTGGGCACATATGCATACATGCCCAATGTGTTTTTCAAGCCTATCAGGTCTGGGATTTGAACCATGCTGTCAACGATGTGGGATCTAGACTCTTTAACCACTATGCTACCTGACTGGCCCCTAACTTTTTGCTTTTTATGTTAAAAAACAAAACTTTATTAGCTAATGACTTACACAATGTTAATGATTCTGAGTTTATTGGAACATTTCAGAAGAGGGTTTAACTTCTCCAAATTTTAATGAGAAGGGTCTTTTCTTGCCACCTTGGATTGAGGAGAGCCAGGGTGTTTACCTTGATGGCCACCGTTGGATCGTACATTCTGTAGCATCAGTTTACCAGAATGTGAGTTGGGAATCTCAGACCACATTTACTGAGGAACAGATGGTTATATGGTAGTAGCCATTAGGCTCTATTCACATCTCTCTCTGGATATGAGGGTCATTCCAATACATTCAGAACTCATTGTGAAAAACCGCAGATTGCTGTTACCAGTAACTTTATACTTTTATTTCCCCCAAAACTTATTTTCTCAGCATTAAAAAACTGTTAAAGAGCTAAAGAGGTTTTGGAAAAACATTGAAATTAGTAAATGGAAACAACACTGTCTTGTATGGCGGGCAAAATAATGGGCCTCTAAAGAGGTCCACATCTTAATGCCTGGAACCTGTCGTTAGTTTACATGTCAAAGGGGAGTGAAGGTTGCAAATGGAAAGAAGGTTGCTAATCAGCTGACCTTAAAATAGGAAGAGTTGGATGGGCTCCATGGCTTAGCGGTTAAGGCAGCCGGATCCCACATGGGTGCCTATGTGTTCAGATCCGTGTGCATGCCTTCCCAAAATCCTGAAAGGAGGGAGAGGTGGAAGAGAAGGGATTATGACACAACATTCCCATAGGAAATACTTTTTCCTTTTTCTCTTTCTCTCTGTCTCTGTCTCTGGTGAGTGCAGTGCATATGCTCTCTCATGCATATGCATGCACACACACAAGAAAAAGGAAGAATATTCTGGATCACCTTCTTGGGTCCAATGTAAACATAAGGTTCTTAGTAGGGAAACAAGGGTCAGTTAGAAGATGTGACTGGAAGAAAATCGTATAGACATGCAACATTGCTAGCTTTGAAGATGGAGGAGAGGACCACGAGTCGGAGCATGTGGGAGGTGTCTAGAAGTTTTCCAGACAAGGAAACAGCAAGGAAATGGATTTTCTCCTGAAGGTTCATAAGGACCACAGCTTTGCTAACATCTTGATTTTTAGCCCAGCAAGACCTGGTATAGATTTTTGACCTTCAGAATTGTAAAGTAATAAACTTTCGTATTTGCTCTGTTAAACTTTAAGCCACTAAATATGTGGTAATCAGTTATATCAACAATAGAAACTGAGCTTTAGAGCCTTTGACCTAGAAAAAATAGTAGCCATTTTTAAACTTACATGAAATAAATACAGTGGTTCAGCTATGACTTCATGTATCTTAGATAACTATCAATAGTTATTTTTAGCTTTAGCCAAAATATACATTTTTGCCTACTTCAGCCATGAAACTATGCAGAGGGGACATGCACACATGTAACAGTGAGCAAACAGGAA